GAGGGCACTGTTCATTGTGCTCCAAAAAAGGCAATTCCTGGCTGACAACGTTTCAGAAAGTTGATTTTTTTTGGCACAATGATGAATTTCGCGACTTTTCCGCCGCTTTATCATATTTGTGGCCCATTAATCAGTCTACCAACTTATGAATAAACAAGACATTTTTTTCCCAGGCCGTTTATGGCCGATAGTAAACATGCATCAACAAGCACATGTCGATGTGTATTTTTCTTGTTTGGTACTTTTCACAGTTTACTGTATGTAAAAAGTAAACGCGACTTTCTTCACTTTATTCAATATTTTTCGAAAGCAAATTTATATCAGCTGAAAGTGTGTCTAACAAGCTACAAAATAATACAAAGGCATCTGAAGATATATTTGAAAATATAATTTTGTTTTGAAAGCAGGGTTTTTGTTGACAGTTTTTCAACAATGATAAATCTACCTTTCTTCAAAAAAAAGCTGAGGTGCGTACTTCAGTGGAATATACGGTAAAACTATTAAAAAACAAAACTTTTTTGGTGAACGTTATCTCATTAGATACTACTTAACTGATTAAAAGCATAATTTTGAGGGGGAAAATATGAAATGTCTGGGTCTTAATAAACCACAGTGGGATGGAGATTTTGTTTTAACGTAGCATTTTTGCAGACAAGCGGAAATGATGATGAAACATACATGACATACATTGTTTACAATGGTATTGGTACACTTACATAGGCCTATTTTTATTATTTTCCCCAATTTCTTGAAACTGCCGGTTATACCAAAAGCATAACGAAATAACTTGAAACGTGAACATTACCACGCCCAGCTGTTTTGGGAGGTGAGGGACTTTCAGAATATGGTACGTCAGAGTTGGCGGCCACGATAATAAACTTAACGCTGAATGTAAATATCAATTAAAATTCTGGCCGAGGTCAACTATTTTGGCATTCCCGGTACTATTATGTGGGTGAAAGTTCCAAAACACTACCATGTACCACAAATGATTGTTAGGCACACCATCATTTAGGTTACTTTAAGCCTTGACAGTACTTAATCCCCCAATTTCCATAAAGTGTAATGGTCAGTGCTCAGTGAAGTATTAAGTGTATCCTAGAAATGCCTTTACAACTACAAGATAAAGAGAGGGCGTTGTGGATTTCAACATTTTCCAGAGGTGTGTTCCACATCCCACAGCAATTTGATGAAAGTTAGATCCGTCTGTTATGACAACATTTTTCACAGATGTGTCTTCTTATTCCTCTGGGTTCCGTATGGAATATAGGACCTCAGCAACGATCCTCCAGCGCACTTAGTTCTGGGTGGCCTTCTTCAGCTGTCCTCAAGTCAGCTCAGGCGTCATCTCTTCGTTGCTGGACCTCCTCCATGTTGTCTTTGGACATCCGACCCGTTTGTTGCCCGGGAGATTTCACTCGAGCGCATGACATGTGATGTTGCCGGGCGGTTTTCCAGCTGAGAGTGTGGATGATCCATCCCCATTTCCTGCATGCGATCTGCTGGGTGATGTCGTTTAGGTTTGCTCGTTGCCGTGGTTTCTGTTGCTGCTGATCTCGTCTGGCCACCTGATGCCGGAGACGTAGTGTTGGCAGCTGTTGATGAAGGTCTGCGGTTTGTTGGCTGTCGTGTTGATGACCCTCCACGTTTCTGACCTGTACAGGAGCACAGACCTAATATTGATTTGACAGGTGTGTACAGCATTCCAAATAAATTTAGGCCTGATTTGAAATTGGGAAGACTTCCTTTTTCGTAAAATGAGAGGTTTCTGACCTTGCCATAAACAGCGAATGTTGGACGGGGGCTTTATGCAATCGGCAGTGGCGTAGCAGGGGGCACGTGATCCCCAGTGGATGTTCCCCCTCCCCAGGTGACCCTCTCCCCAATTTGAAATCTACATTGAGTTTATATAGCTACGCAGCATATCTTTTCCCTTTCAAAAAATGTGTGAACCCCGGGCCCCCCTCCCCCGGAAATTTAGCCCTAGTTACGATGCATTGGCAGTCCGCCAGTCGATGGGGTTATATGTTGTGTTGTTTGTTGAGTGTACTTTAGCAAGAGATACATGTAATAACACGATGTTTGGGGTTTACGTTTTCTGAAATGTTCAGAAAGTCTTTTAGGAGAACTTTGGAGCCGGATCCCGTGCCCCCCACCGATAGCAAAGCGCCACCACACGGTGGACAAACTCAACAAAATGGCGGCCGCCACGACCAACACAAATCCGTCGCTGCTCCTACCGTTAGGTAATGTTTTCTGCCGATTTTACCGTTTCATTGTCCTTAAAAGTATAGAGAATGATTCCTAAAGAAACTGAAACTATCTGCACCCTGGAATGTCCTTTCTTGCTGTCTTCAATAATTCTAGGTTTCACGCAAGTAGGCATGTGTGTGTGCGTACATGTACGTACGTGTGTGATGGCCACTGTTTTTGTCATTTTTATCTTTGCATAACTGGTCATTCCCCTAAAAAACAAAGGCAACGCTGTCTGAACTGCCCTGACACTGTTTTTTTGAAATTTTAAATTGTGAGAAAATGTGAATTCCTACTGATAAGCCAGCCATGCAAATGTGACTTCACCATCTTGACCATGTGTCATGTCACTATCATCCACAGTTTCCCCTCATAATTTCCCTCAAAACTCAAAACCCTGCCCTCTTTTCACAACATCAACCATACTTGGTGTCAAAGTCATCTACCTTGTCCTTGGGGAATCCAAATTTCAAATGTAGGTCTCCCTTCATGCCCTCCTGTTATCATGGGCCTGGTTATAGGAACCGGGTCCCCATATTCACAATCCCCACTGTTTTTACCAAGAGGTCTCTGTAACTGGCTCGTGTTTCCCAAGACGAGCGCATGGGTTAGGAAGATCGTATCATTGTGAAACAAAAGGCCTAAATGGGCTGGGAAAGAGTTCCATATGATATGGCACTTGAAACTCTTTGAGACTGGTCTGAAAAGTTCTAGGCCTAAGTGTTTTTATACACACAACATGGTAGGCCTATTTTCCCTCCTACGTGTAAATAGAATTTTTCTTGACTTTTATTTTGCTTTATGATGGCTATTAATTCACTGCAAGGAGTAATTACTGGCATCTGTATATGAAGTGGTTTCCCTGGGCTGCGTTTTGAGGGGTTGAATGGAAAATCTCCCAAGATTTACAAAAATGACAACAAAAAGAAAATTTCAGTTGCATATCTGATCATATCATACTTTTCAATTCGGGACCAGTAATGACGTAGAAGTAGAAATTTGTTAGTATCACCACTCATACCCTCCTTAAATAGCCCTATTGATTAAAATGTCTAGACTCACATGCACCTGCTGTAACTGTATGAATTCCATCTTTTTGTCAGGTTGTTCGCCACCACACATAATTAAACTCCTCATATATATACCGGTACCTGTATTTATCCTTATTTGTAACATTGTTTAAAATGATGGCGAATTCCTGCAGAATTAATACTACTGCCGGTCCCAAAGGAATACTAATTAAGAGTACCAACCGTACTTGATGTTGAGAGTTTTCTCCCCAACCCTAAAAGGGGGGGCGGAATCTTACTGCAGTGCATTGTGATTTTCTTGACATTCCCAGCCACAGGAGTTTTTATTTGATAGGCCTTGATACATTGTATATATACTGGTTATTGTTACAAGTAATAAAATGAGTTTGCCACTGCATTCTTTCAGAGCTTGTTGATAAATGCATTGGATCCCGTATTCATATTGTCATGAAAAGCGACAAGGAGATTGTTGGAACGTTACTTGGATTTGATGACTTTGTCAGTATCCTTTTCAAAAAGAGGCAGGAGTTAAAACTAGTGGACATTATTGCCAGCAACAGCAAAATGTTCCTGAGTGATGCTTCACTAGCATTTGTCTTGCACATGCCGACAGAAATTGGTTGTATGTGCCTAGCCTGAGGTAGCACCAAACAACTTGAACTTCTGTGTGCATGTGGTGTGTCCACACCAAAGAGAATTGTTGCTGTGTACAAACACACCATCTCTTGTTCATTCATTGAGAGGATCGTCTGAAATGTATCTGAGTGATCTTCTTAGCTTCCAGACTGTACTTCAAACAAGCCTGCTTATCAGGTCATGCAGAGGAAACATGCTTCATTGATATTGACCAGTCAGAGATGACTCTCCATAAAATGTCATCTTGAAATGAAGTACCGTCAAAATATTCATTGGCTTCATATAAATGTAGTCTGACACCTTTTGTGTAAAGTGTGAAGTGAAAAGGCTAAAATGAAGAAAAATTGTCAAAAGAAATTCACTGACATTAACTGAATATTCGCTTAGGTCTTCACATTAATGGACTGTATAGAATGAGGAGTGCAGTTTTGGAGACCAAAAAGTGTTTTAAAAAATGGAAAACATTGACACACTTTATGTATATTGAACAATTTACTGTATTAGTTTAAGAAGTAGTAAAACAATTTAAATTGGTTATCATTTATCAGTCTGTTGCAGGTCAACTAAATGACGATAATTCTGCTTTCACTTATTTATTCGTGCTTCCCTTTAAAAGTTTGTTTGCAAGTTCTTTAACCTCTCACCTCAGACATGGTCTTGGAAGATGTTGTTGAATTGTAAGTATTACACAATGTCTGCATTTATGAAACTATGTGACTTGGATACTAATTCCATATCTTGTTTTTGTTCAGACTGGGCAGAACTGTAATTGGTCTTGATACGGGGAACATGAATTTCGGGACATGTTACAAATGTCCTCTTCATGTAAAATCACGAAGCAAGTTACAGCTAAGCAATTTAGCTCTATCAAACTGAACTTCTGGTCTGTTCTTGTGCAAGCATCAAGCAAGCGTGTATCGATGTGAAACGTCTTATTTCCTTTGATTCAATGTTCTGTTCCACTGTCTGAGGGTATTGTTTCACACCCCTTCCTCTGCTAACAATCAATTCCTTTATGTGTGGTACATTATATTTACTGGCATGTATCTTTCAGTGAGTTAACGTCTGAAGGTAGGAGAATGACCAAACTGGACCAGATTTTGTTAAATGGAAATAACATCACAATGGTGAGTAGCAACGGACTTTCTTAATCCGACCTTCTTATATTTAAAGTGGGTCACATTTGCACACGATAAAAAACCTATCAGTATAAGTGTCCTGTGGACAGCATACTGTCATTCCCTGGCTCTCAACCAATCCAGTCTGGTTATCATGAGTCAGAACCATCTCTTTATTGTTGGTACATTGAATTTCTTCCTGTGTTAAAAGGTTCAATTCACACTTCAAGTTGTTGTTTTATGGGTATCTAACCACTTCATACATCAATTTATTCGCAAAGTCCCACACGTTTTAGCACTTACAGGAGTTTTCTTCCATCCATCCACCAAGACATTTTTCTGGAATAGGGCCCCTTTTCTTCAGGTGATCGATTACATGTTCATGTTCAGTTTTTCATTGACTCAATTTATTTGGGGATTACTATGAAGCATATGCCCCAGACCACCACAGTCTTCAGGGATTCAATTTATATGCCTGAAGATCTGGGATAACGATGAGTGAAACATGGTGAAGCTGACAAAAATAACATGAGGCACAGGTACATGTTGTTAG